TCCAAAGCGTTTGATACCGTCGATCATCACATCTTAAAGCAGAGGCTACTCAGTATTCGCATATCCAGCCATGCAGTGGGGTGGTTTGTGAACTACCTCTCTGAAAGGTCCCAATGTGTTCACTTTGATGGGCTGTCTTCTGAGTGGTTAAACATGGCTAATGGTGTTCCTCAAGGTTCTGTTTTAGGTCCACTTTTATTCTCCATATATATCAACAGTTTAGGTGAAAATGTGAATGAAGCTACTTTACATTTTTATGCGGACGATACCGTGATGTACTGTGCAGGTCCCTCCATTCAGGAGGCTGGTGTTAAATTACAGGCTGTTTTTAACATTATTCAGACTCAGCTCTCTGAGCTTAAGCTTCTTTTAAATGTTGATAAAACCAAGGTAATGCTATTTTCAAAAGCTAAAAAGACACCAGAGCCTGTTTTAGATATTGTTACTATGCAAGAACAAATAAGTGGTTACCTTCTACAAATACCTAGCTATCTGGCTTGATGATTGTCTTACTTTTAAACTTCATGTCAATGACCTGCTTGTTGGGTAAACTCCTGTATTATATCTGCTCTCTGATCACACAGAGAGTTGCAAGCAGCTATTGTCTGAGATCGCATGATGTAGTATTNCTCTGATCCGGTTACTTATGTTGTGGCAGATATTTAAGTAAGCTTTCTTAACGCTAATGTTATAATAGTCAGATTGCTCTGAAGATGGGAGGTGATATTCTATTAATGTTCACGTTCACACAGTCAGTGATTTTTGCCGGACGTCTTTCCTGCAACGGCAGCTTTTCTGTATTTCCTTTCTCCTGTAATATGACTTGATCGCTTTAAACTCCGCACACTGAGCTCTGATTGGTCAGCAGGCAGTGCTTTCACTGAGTTGAGCTCTTAGCCTGCAACCTAACCTGCTCCGGGGCAGGTTAGCCGCACAGCCTAAGTTACCATGGAGATCTAGCCTGCTAAAAAGAGAACCAGCTTCGTAGGACCGGAAACCCCGAGTTTTCCCTGAAGTTAGCCGGCTAAGCGAAAATCCTGCTTCGTAGTATACCCTCCTGCTCTCTGATAACACAGAGTTGCAAGCAGCTATTGTCTGAGATCGCATGATGTACTATTGTTAGATGTGCCAAGAGCAAGGACTGTCTTAGGTAAGACAGCTTTTATGTGCGCAGCTCCACTTGCTTGGAACAATCTTCAGCAAGAATTGAAACTGAGCAATCTCATTCCTCTGCATGTTTTTAAAGCTAGGCTAAATGAAATGCTCGTTGATACTATGGGCACATGTAAATGTCTATAACTATGTAAATGTATCCTGTAAATATAATGTATGATGTCCTTTATTGTTTTATGTTTCATGTGGAACCTATATGCTGCAGGTCTCCCTTGAAAAAGAGATCTATGATCTCAATGGGACCAATCTCGTTAAATAAAGGTTTGAAATGAAATGAAATGAAGTTTCACATGCATGTTACCAGTTAGTTACTATCTATGTCGGTCTGCCTTTTAGTATTGAGCATGTAGTGTACTGTTCCTTTTTAAAGGTTTTTCACTTTTTAAGTCTAAAGAAAAAGATTCCTAATGTCAAAATGGAACAGAAAACTGTAAACCTGTGGACTGGATAGCTAAATTATGAGTAGAAACACAAAAAATACAATCATTAAAGCTCCATAAGACCACGTTGAACTGAACATTTGTGAAAAAGTTTTCTGTAGGTTCATCACCACGGGACCTTATTTATATTGTCTTCATTGCGTCCATTGGTACATTTATTGAACATCTCGATCATAGCTGCTCTAATAAATAATTCAATATATGACTTGATGATTCCTTATTCAGCGTGCACACCCTGAAAGGTATGTAGAAATGTATGAAAGGTATTCCCTTGTTTATCTTCTCATTGAGTAGAAGTAATGTGAGGGTTGGGAACAAACGCAGAGCAATCACAGCTGCCGTTGTACAGATGATCGGACCAAAGAAGGAACTGCTGGGTGACAAGAGAGCTCAGCATTGCAGCAGAGCGCTGGGTATCTGAGCTGAATCGCATGAAAGGCATTTGCCTGATTGTTCTTCTCCAGTGCACTGGCTCAAGTAACACCGTGATAGCCATCTATTATTTTTGTTTATTACTTGAGTCAAATGGGGGGCATTTAATTCCTGTTCTTTAGAGTTGGGTGCCTCGTGCTCTGTGGTCTGCAACCATATACTGTTTTACAAATAAACCTTTTGAGACTTTTAGATATGAAGTGAAGATGAAGAAGAGAGATAAACGTAATAAAACAGTCTCATAATCTAATTTGTACTGCAAAGCTTGTGCCCAAATGTCTGACACAACCCGTTGTTGAGCCTTGGAAGTGTGTGTTTGAAGCCAGCAGTGGAAAGCCTTTCAGTGTTGACACATTCAAGTGACAGTTAATGAGTTAACAAGCTTAGTGGAGCTGCTACATCCAACACAACCTCAGTGACATTAAAGAATAAGGACTGGATGGTCATCACATACTTTTACTCTTTCCAGTTAACACTGTGAATGCCAAAACATCTTGTTGGGGTTTTAACACTCTCTGATGCAGGAGTAGTTCTTTTTCACGTGTGTATACGGGTATATAGGTTACAAAGTATGTGTGTGATTGTTTGCATATGTGTGTGTGACTCTATTAGGGTAGTGATCCCTTTATGGGGCTTTAGCGCACAGACACACTTTTCAACTCCTCCCCTCTCCCTTCAGTCAGGGTGTGATTAGAGCCAATACAATCTTGGCCAACCTGCAGTGAGAGAGTGTGTGTGTGTCTGTGTGTGTGTGCGTCTGTGCAAGAGAGAGCTAGAGAGGGTGAGAGAGAGAGATAGCAAAAAAAAGAGTGGGTAGCCACTCTGGTGCACTCTGGTGGTTCTTCCAACGGCGTCACTGTTGCTTGGTCTCCAACAGTCCAACTGTGGCATTGTAGCTCCTGCAAGCTTCAGGGAAAACACAGCAAACTCCTCAAGTCCCAGTGGATTTATCTAAATGGACACGTCCGGATACTTTACTTCTGAAAGTCTGTTTTTGCTTTATGTTAACGCTTCCCGGATTCGTGAAAGTGCTGTCACTTCTTGAACTAACATTGTTTCAGCTTTGTGGACACTTGTGGATACATCTTTTTTAGAGAACATGCTTTGGTTGACCGCACCAGAAGAACTTGCACTAAAAAAAAAATCTTGGTCATCACATCTGGAAACATGGAAAGCCACTACTGCCTTTTGAACTCAGCCAAACCGGACTCCCAAGCTGTGAAATGTAAGCAGCAACCGGAAAGTCAAGAATAATAACTATTATCTAGTGAGCAGATTTATGATGCTTGTAAGGAAAGCAGATTCTTCAGTTTTGTTAACGTGAGAAAAACAACCTGTAGCTTATTATAATGGATGGCAACTTGAGCACTCTTGCCTCCTATGTGCCCAACAGAACTGATCCGTACCACGATGCGGTGGGCCCCTGGAGCCTCATCGTTCTGGTCTTCATCATACTGACCATAGTGGTAGGAAACCTGCTGGTGATCATCGCTGTAGCTCGTACTTCACATCTACAGACGACCACAAACATTTTCATTATGTCCCTGGCGTGTGCTGACCTCATCATGGGGGTCCTCGTAGTGCCTCTGGGGGGCACTATAGTGGTGACGGGAAACTGGCAGCTCAGTGACACGTTCTGTGAGGTCTGGACCTCTGTGGACGTCCTGTGTGTGACGGCGAGCATCGAGACGCTCTGCATCATAGCAGTGGATCGATATATAGCCATCACGAGGCCTCTCAGGTACAAAGTTCTCCTCAACAAGTGGCGCGCCAGGGTAATAGTTTGCCTAGTGTGGGTAGTGTCCGCTCTAATTTCCTTTGTACCGATTATGAAAGGGTATTGGAGAGATGATGACGAGGAGGCAAAAAAGTGCTACGACACCCCTACATGCTGTGACTTTGTGACCAACAGGTTCTTCGCTATTATATCTTCTATCGTGTCTTTTTATATTCCACTGCTCATAATGATATTTGTTTATGCAAAAGTTTTTCTAATAGCCACACGGCAGGTTCAGCTCATAGATAAGAATCGCCTGCGTTTCCAGAATGATTGTCTAACAGCGCAAGTTAGCCCCTACATCAACAATATCCTGCCAAACGCGTGTCCAGCCCCGAGCACCTTGCAGAGAAAGAGCGCCAAGCGGCGGCCGTCACGGCTGATGCTCGTCAAAGAGCACAAGGCCCTGAAGACCTTAGGGATCATCATGGGGACCTTCACTGTGTGCTGGCTGCCGTTCTTTGTGGCCAACATCATCAACGCATTTGAAAGAGATATTCCCTCAGAGAAGATCTTCAGACTGTTAAACTGGCTGGGTTACATCAACTCTGGCCTCAATCCTATCATCTACTGCAGGAGTCCGGAGTTTCGCACCGCGTTCAAGAACCTGCTGGGATGTCCGTGGCTGCTGTCCACCCTGCGGCCAAATCGTTTTTACAAAGAGCTGAGGACTCGCTGCTCCTGCTTCCTATGGCAGGCTGAGGCGGGCACAGCCAGCTCTTTCCAGAAGTCTCCGAAGAGTAAGAGCGATGGCTGTGAGAGTCTGGGCAGCAGTATTGGAAGCAGCAAAAGTGACAAGGCTTCCCCTGGTGCTCTGCGCTCCAATGGAAGCACACAGTTCAGCGAATTATCCGAACCAGAAACCACATTGTAAGTACCCTTTTTCTTGTCTTTTCTACATGCAGTCATCTATTTTGAAGTATGAGGAATGTTTCAAAAATTTCAATTTTCAACAAACTACATACTTGCTCGGGTAAAATCTCCATAATCATATTTTAGAGAGAATTAAGTGAACCATTTTTGACAGTTTATGCACAGACGGACATCATAGACAATGACAAATGCAAAATCATGATAAATGCAACATTGGCATGCAAATTCAAACTCAGTTTTTTAACATTTTAGATTTGTGTTATATTAAAGTAATAGGATAATTCAATTAAATATATTTAAACGTATACACGATACTACATTTTGAAATCTCAGTGCGTCTTACTTGAGAGTAACAAATAGACCTTCGATCAAACCTTCATTATTTCAAGGGCAGTGGGATGAGAGAGTGTGAATGTGGACACTGGGTTTAAACTTTTTCCTTAGTTCTTTTCTTCTTTCCTTTTTTACGCTCTGATTTAAGGTGTTAAGTCTTACATCAGTGGTTTACCATGTGTCATGTGAGCAGATCATTTGCACTGTGAAGCAGAAATGTGAAGACTAACAGAATCAGTGTCATGAAGAATTAAACAATTTCCATTACTTTCTGCTTCCGGACATCATGTTGCAGATTAGCCAAAACAGGTGTGATCGTGTGCTTGTTTCAGTTTTGATGAGAACTACTGCCAACACAATATTAACAAGCAAATAGGATCAACAAAAGTGATATGTCATGAATGACTACAACAAAATCTGTATAAAAAAAGAAAATCAGGGAGATTTTACATTTCCAACAAATTTCAAGAAGAGTTAACATTTTCGTGTTCATTAATTATCAATACATTTGTCCTTTTATGAAATGATTATCCATTATTGGCTTGTTAAGGTTGACCACTACTGTATGTATCAACTCATCCCCTTAATGTTCACTGTATTTATCTTATCGTTATGTGCAGTATTACCACCGATGCCATAGAGTGCCACAGTGACGCGTCCTAAAACCCGGAAGTAAGTTAGCATTTTACCACTTCCGGTTCCTTCGCCAAAAAGCAATGCAACTTCTCCATAGGTTTTTGGAAAATAGCCCGAAATAAGGTCTGTGTTTGACACAAATTGAAGAGAGAGATCACGTTTTGTTCTACGACATTAAATACATCAGCAGTGACCCCACTGGTGAAGAGTTTACCTGTCTGAAAAACGATGGTTGTTAACAAGTGGCTGAATAGGACTAGAGAAGTTGTCGAGGCCGTTGTACGTCATTACCCCGAACACGTAAACACTCCCGCTAAGTTTGTTTTTCCCCGTGTTCTGCTTGAAAGCAAGTACCTGCCTCCTGCAAACTGTTCAAACTAACGCTTCAACTTGTACCATTTTGAATCTGTATTTTTGAATATGGATCTTAAATTGGCGTGACGTTGAAGCAGCGACCCTGCTGTAGTTTGTTTGTAGCATAACGTTAGCATTTTGCTTCTGGCGACTAGATTTATGATTAGAAAATTATAAAAGTAGGGT